CCTGTAGAACCCCCTTCGTTACCTGTCCGTTGACATGAGTGACAAAGAGGAAACCCCTCCAAACATTGAAAGTGACAGCTGACACTGATCCTGATACTCTCATTAGCTAAGGTTAACTAGCTAATGTTAGCTAAAGCATCAAGTTAATTGTCTTAGCTCTGGATTGGGCTGTGGCTCAGTTGGTAGTCAGTCGTGTCTTAACCGGAATGTCGAGGGTTCGATCTCCAGCTCCTGCAGCAACATTTTCAATGTGTCCTTGGGCAAGACACTTGACCTCAAGTTGCTCACACTGTTTCAGTGGCAGCCTATGAATGGGATTACTTCTGATGGTCCCTTTACATAGCAACCTCCACCGTCAGTGTGTGAATGTGTAGGTGTGACCTGTGGAGTAAATTCACTTTGAGTAGTCAGAAGATGAGAAATGTCTATACAAGCTAAAGTCCATTTATCATAAAACTATAATCATAATTTCCTTCATGTTTCTTGTTTTCTATTTGTCTCTGGTATTCCCTGCAGCTTTACCTGTTTTAAGATTCTCTAATAAAGCTCCCTATTCCCACACGCCTTGACTGGACTTAATAGCTCAGGTAATGAAGCAGGACCCGGTTTAATAAACCATAGGGACATCCAAACTTATTTCTCATATATAATCCATCTCACTGCAATACACGGCCCCTAATGGTCAATTATGAATCACTGCTCCCACACATCAAGATGAATAAGTACTGTTTTGAAGCCACATATGGTTTGATTTATTTATGCATCCATAAATTATTGTTCACGGATTCAGTTCCATATGTGCAGATAGCCTCAACATCTCATGTCACTGAATGAAATATGAACATGTGCCTGAAATGAGCTGTGCAGTGCGTAATAATAATACCTGTCAAGTATTCAGTTAATTAAAGTAACATTATGTATTGGAAAGCTCATACCAGAATATTGAACAAGGATATGAATAATTACTATTCAATCTGACATATGGGGTCCCACGTTTTAATAACATCACACTGAAGCACTCTTTGGAATGTAAATGGACTTGATAGCGCTTTTCTAGACCTTTAATTACTCAAGGTGTTTTTACACCGCAGGTCACACCTACATATTCACACACTGATGGCAGAGGCTGCTATGTAAAGTGACCATCAACCCATTGCATCTGTTATATTCTTACTGTTGTTAATGTTTTTCTGTGTTTGGTTTAGTTTGCTTTGTTCTTGCTGTTTGTCAAAGCACTTTGTAAACCTGTGTTTTTAAAAGGTGCTATATAAATAAAGTTATTATTATTATTATTATTATTATTCATATACATTCATACAGCACCGACAAAGCAGCGGCAGCAACTTGGCGTTAAGAGTCCTGCCCAAGGACACATCGACAGTGTGCTGCAGGAGCTGGGGATCGAACCCCTGACCTTCCGTTTGAGAGCTGACAAACTCTACCAACCGAGCCACAGCCACCCTCGTTAGTACACCTGTGAATCCTAAAATTGAATATGGAGATGAATCCTATAGATCAAAAGTATGCTGACGCTGTCTCTGAGTCTTTGTTTGGTGTCAAATTAATGTATCTTTGTCTCGGGTCTTTACATTTTATGTTGTAAAATAATCTGCCGTAATGTAATTTCAGACTCTGTCTTTGACCAATGTTCTATCAAACAATAAATCAACATATGGCCCCATGTGTTGAATGTCTTTCAGCAATAGAGACAATAGATTTACGTTTAGCTACATATCATCACAATCCAGTCTCTACTTTATCCTTTCACTCTACACTTTGCTGTTGGTACTGCTCTCTTTGTGATTTGCCTCTGAGGAGAGCGAGCCAGCTTGTCTCTATGCTGACTGCAGGATCCTTATTTTCTCACTGTCCATATACCATTAAGCTCATTAGGATGGATTGGAAGTTGAGGACCATTACCAGAAAAAAAAAAAAACAGCAGCGAGGTTTTGCAAATAGAAGCTGGTCGTTAGCGATGATCCTGAGACATATCCATGTGTGTCGCATAGAATATATTTTCTATTTTCTTACTACAGCGACCCTACATCACAAACTACAATCAGTCCTTCCTTCTTTGTTATGATTGTACCTGCAGGGTTGTGGATTTCGTAACAAATGGTAAATGAGACCGGATGTTGTGGGACATTCAGTTGTTGTTTTTTTTCAAACTTAATTGGCATACATGTATTTAAATACAAATCATTCTGGCATATTGAATAGTATGGGTTATGAAACATAGTCACAGGACTCTGCTTTTAAAAAAAACATATTCTCTCTCATTCAGTTTTTGATTGTTTGCAGCAAATAGAGTTGCACTCTTAATGTCTTTGTACGCTGAGCTTACATGACACTAAAGGCTTTCTGATTCTGATTCTGATTCTGATGATCAATTAATCAATTAATCACTCTTCACAAAAAAAGTTATATCATGACACTTGACAAAAGCAGGTTGGTATATAGCCTACTCCAGTGGTTCTCAAACTATGGTGGTATGCAGGCTCCCTGTGGTGGTACGCAAAGGAATCTCCACAATATAAAAAAAATAAAACGTTCAGCATAAAACGCCTTTTTTTTGTCGTACTCTTGTCTTATCTGGCTTGTATCTATTGGGTTGTATTTATAGCAAATGTGTTTTTCTCTCTAAATTAATCTAGTTTTTGCAACAAACAACTTTTATCTTCTCAATTTATGCTCACACACGCACAGACATAAACACCACCAGGAGTACGCCTCGCGTTTTGAAAAGTTCCACTCGATATTCCGTTATTTATAGGAGTTCAGTACTGAAACAACAGAAAGCAGCTGTAGGCCTACATTAACAGATATTCTGTTGGAGTTCAGCACAGAATCGGTTGCAAGCACCTGTACATTTACATTTTTATAACAGAGACAGAAATGCTTCCGTTGTGATGCATTTACAAGACTGTACGGACAGTCGCTCACCCTCTCTCTCGCTCTTGCTCTAAAGCTAAAAATGTGATTCTGCTCTATTTTGCTGTGTCTTATATGCGCAGGGGTCGAGAAGGATTTTTTGCTATGTTGAACAGGGTTCATATCAGCCCTATGTTCCCACAGCCCAATGGTCCCACAGTTCTAAGAATTTTCTCAAAATTAGGCCCTATGTTCCCAGAGGGTAGGGTTAGGGTTAGGGTAAATTACCCTAACCCTAACTGATAAAAAGTTATGAAAAAGGAAATGTGGGAACATAAGGCACAGAGCCTGCACTCTCTCGCACGCCTACACTCTCTCATGCCTACACTCTCTCACGCGCTCTCTCTCTATCTCTCTCGCTCTCTCGCAGCAATTTTATGAAAAAATGAACAGGTCAGAAATATATTTGGGCCCAGGTATCATGTTTTTGTGCACTGCAGACTAAATATTCTCAAACAGGTTGTTGGTATAAAGTTGTCATTTTTATTGTGCTGCACTGAGATTTGGGCAAATGTCAGAGTTGTGTGGAGTTTAAGTGCAGGTTCTAGCGCTAGCCCTTATTAGTCCTATAGTGTGGCTGCCAACAGTCAATAATAAATAATATTCTTTTTATGAATATATTTGCCTCCTGCGTAAAATGTGTGTAGAAATAGGTCTACAGTGTATTTTAACATCTACCATAATGGTGGTACTATTTTCGGAGGTGGTATGTAGTCTAAAAATTTTGAGAACCTACTCCAATTTGTTATAATATAATGGGGGCCTAACATAAATCCATCATGAACAAGCACTTGGCCACAGTGACAGGGAAAACTGTCTTTTAACAGGCGGAAACCTCAGGGGACTTTAAACTCCTCTATTTCAGCCCGGCTCAGAACAGGCTGTTTGTGTGCCGCTTGGTTTTGACAGGCAGAAGGGTGGTTCAGATGTAACTGAGACGCAGCGCAGCGAAACCAGTGGAAGCACACACATTGAATAAAGTAAAAACCTCTCACCTCCGCTGCCAGAAAGGAGCGGAGACAGACCGAACACGCATCTGGTGGAAGTTGGCTGTAAGCCACTGCGCCACAGTAAAGGCAAGGATTCAGCAGCACTTTGACTATATGAGGCAATGACATTACATGGAGAAAACTCATTTAAACTTTAAATGCAACAAATTATCAAAATTTTATCATAAATTTAAAAAAAAAAATCACACAATATCCTGATGATTTCCTGAGGACTGTTGACAAATTTGGTGAAGTTTGATCAAACATTTTGTGAAATAGAAAATGTTTTTACTGATTACAGTAAAACGTTTACTGTCTTTACAGGCACATCGTTTAACCGATCTTTACAAAATTGGATATGTGGGGTGTGGAGTATCAGACCGATTTTGGTATGATTTAGGTAAAGGCTTGATGAGTTACAGTAGTTAGTTGATTATGCATATTTTGAAAACTATAGTGACGAATCTCTGAATTGACCATAGGTTGCAGCACGGGAAACGATCAGTACCATCCAAGGAACACGCTGTGCAAATATTATTTTTGTACAGCTAACTGTTAGCAACTTCTTAGCATTTAAAGCAAAACGCTTAATATTTCACCACATGTTGAGCATGTTACCATTAGGAACCATATTCTGAAGTTTTAATACTTTATTAGTTTTTGAGTTATGATCTTTCAAAAATGTGTCCCATAGGGTTCCATTAATTTTTTTATAATATTCATATTAAATCACTGTAACATTTTAGCATCAATACAAGTAATAGCGCACTTCTCCTCACCAAGCTTTACCATTTACATTAGTGTGAGAGCTGCCAGCTGTAACACTAAAGAGCGAAGATATCTAGAACTAGCTGCCAGCTCTCACACTAATTAAAATGTAATAATGCATGTCCTCTTAGGGCTTCCATAGAATGTATGTTATTTATTTAGATAAATTTGTCGTGGATAGGGTGGGTGGGGGAGTGAGTGAGTGAGTGAGTGAGTGAGAATAAGGGGGGATCCGGAGAGGCACGGTGGGAGTGCAGTGAGTCTGTGAGTCCTGGAGAGTGACACACACTGACGGAGATAAGAAGAAGCAGCATCGCCAGGAAGATTTAGTGCGAGAGTCCCCTGCTCCGTGTTTGATATGAGCTCGAGCTGCGAAAGTTACTACAGCAAAGAAAATGTGCTCGTGGGGGGCTTCACGTGCCCGAAAGCGGACAGTGACAGCACGGCACTTTTCTGCTGCGGTTTCAGTGACTTGAAGTACTGTTGTGATGACCCCAACAGCTTTTTTCCCTACGAATATGGATACATGTGGTGGTTAAGGTAAGATAAGAAAACCGCAGACAAATAAGTATGGTGCATGGATTTCGTTTTACAGCGGGACATAATGTATGGGGGAGGTAGATGCACCTGTGCAGTGTCATGATGCAGCATGAGCATGGCGCACCTCGTCTCTTCATGCTTTCTTCTGCATCATCAGTCAAGCTGCTCAGACTGGACTTGTATCATATTCAAGACATTTTAACCATTGAAGATGTTTAGTTTGCTTAAAGAACATAGGCTACATGTTCGGGTTACAAAAACAATAGTGCTCGCAGGAGTTTCTCATTAGAAACCAACCTGTTGACATTTAGATGTCTTTTATCTCTTATTGGTCCAATTTCAAACAAAATCATAATAATTTTAGTAATTAATGTTTAATTTTGTCATGTTGGAGTTCAGTGCCATGTAAAAAAAAAAAAAAAAAAGAAACACACTGTAGGGATGCACCAGTCCATCTTTTCATCTTCAGACATGGTGACCTTAAGGTGACTTCCATGCAGGACTCATGTATAGCTCATGTTAAAACAAAGGTGTCCAAGAATATCTTTGTTTTAAACAAAGTAAAGTTTCTGTTGGAATATAAGGTACTGAGGATTTTGTATTACTCACTTATTTTGCCTTCTCTTATTTTATCTCTTATTTCTTATTGTTGAAGTGTGGGGTAACACTTCAGTTACAAACATGAAACCATTATTTATCTAACAGAAAAGAGCGGTAAGAATCATTCACGAAGTGGACTATAGAGAGCACACCAACAGGCTGTGCAAATATTATTTTGTACAGCTAACTGTTAGCAACTTCTTAGCATTTAAAGCAAAACGCTTAATATTTCACCACATGTTGAGCATGTTACCATTAGGAACCATATTCTGAAGTTTTAATACTTTATTAGTTTTTGAGTTATGATCTTTCAAAAATGTGTCCCATAGGGTTCCATTAATTTTTTTATAATATTCATATTAAATCACTGTAACATTTTAGCATCAATACAAGTAATAGCGCACTTCTCCTCACCAAGCTTTACCATTTACATTAGTGTGAGAGCTGCCAGCTGTAACACTAAAGAGCGAAGATATCTAGAACTAGCTGCCAGCTCTCACACTAATTAAAATGTAATAATGCATGTCCTCTTAGGGCTTCCATAGAATGTATGTTATTTATTTAGATAAATTTGTCGTGGATAGGGTGGGTGGGGGAGTGAGTGAGAATAAGGGGGGGGATCCGGAGAGGCACGGTGGGAGTGCAGTGAGTCTGTGAGTCCTGGAGAGTGACACACACTGACGGAGATAAGAAGAAGCAGCATCGCCAGGAAGATTTAGTGCGAGAGTCCCCTGCTCCGTGTTTGATATGAGCTCGAGCTGCGAAAGTTACTACAGCAAAGAAAATGTGCTCGTGGGGGGCTTCACGTGCCCGAAAGCGGACAGTGACAGCACGGCACTTTTTCTGCTGCGGTTTCAGTGACTTGAAGTACTGTTGTGATGACCCCAACAGCTTTTTTCCCTACGAATATGGATACATGTGGTGGTTAAGGTAAGATAAGAAAACCGCAGACAAATAAGTATGGTGCATGGATTTCGTTTTACAGCGGGACATAATGTATGGGGGAGGTAGATGCACCTGTGCAGTGTCATGATGCAGCATGAGCGTGGCGCACCTCGTCTCTTCATGCTTTCTTCTGCATCATCAGTCAAGCTGCTCAGACTGGACTTGTATCATAGTCAAGACATTTTAACCATTGAAGATTTTTAGTTTGCTTAAAGAACATAGGCTACATGTTCGGGTTACAAAAACAATAGTGCTCGCAGGAGTTTCTCATTAGAAACCAACCTGTTGACATTTAGATGTCTTTTATCTCTTATTGGTCCAATTTCAAACAAAATCATAATAATTTTAGTAATTAATGTTTAATTTTGTCATGTTGGAGTTCAGTGCCATGTAAAAAAAAAAGAAAAAAAGAAACACACTGTAGGGATGCACCAGTCCATCTTTTCATCTTCAGACATGGTGACCTTAAGGTGACTTCCATGCAGGACTCATGTATAGCTCATGTTAAAACAAAGGTGTCCAAGAATATCTTTGTTTTAAACAAAGTAAAGTTTCTGTTGGAATATAAGGTACTGAGGATTTTGTATTACTCACTTATTTTGCCTTCTCTTATTTTATCTCTTATTTCTTATTGTTGAAGTGTGGGGTAACACTTCAGTTACAAACATGAAACCATTATTTATCTAACAGAAAAGAGCGGTAAGAATCATTCACGAAGTGGACTATAGAGAGCACACCAACAGGCTGTTTTTAAGGTCAGGTTTATTGAAACTGAACAATTTAGTTGAAGACACTAGTAGTAATGTTAAGAGCAAACAGCAGAGCATAACCAAAAAACTCTCCAAGAGATGTTTGTTTTTAGTTCAGAAGATGAAGCACATGGGAGAAGATTTCATAAGATATTGGATTTCAGTTGTTGGAATGAAATTGTGGAATCCTTTAAACAATGACTTGAAGAGCAGTGTGAATATATTTCATTTTAAGAAAACGTACAAGGAGAAAGTTATTAGACTGTCAGAAATTGGCAGTTACTGTGTTTTTGTGTGTTTTTTCCTCTTTATTGACGTGAAGTCTAAGACTGGACAGACCATCGAGATATCTCTTGTTTTCTCTTTGAGTGATGGGCGAGCAAAATCCTCCCCCTGCTCCTTTCCCAGCATCGACTGGGATAAATAATTGTGAATCGTTTTCTGTGAACGTTGTGTGTTTTGACATGTGTGGAACAAATAAGAAAATGAGAGTAAATGAAATGTTTCTTAATGAAAGTCATTGGCCCATTTGATATAGGGCAATATGACATCAGGGATTTCAACAGGGTCCTCACATAGCTAAACATGAATATCTTCTGTCTAAAAGAGGAAAATCAGAGGAATGCAAGAATCTCTTTTTAGTCTTTATTGTGAGACATTTACAAGCCAATGAGAAAGAATTGAGACAATCATCAAAGCAATAATTGAGAGGGCTCATCTTCTTCTCATTTCTGTCTCAAGTGAATTTCTGCGACCAACATAAGAAATCTTTGATCATTATTGTGGATCTCGTCTGTTCAGTGTCTTGTTTTTATCTTAGTTATTGCTCTCACTCGTGCTGCTGCAGGTGCTCTTTGTTTTAAACCTGAAATCTTCAGATTGTGAGGCAGCATTGTTAACGACTAATGCTACAAGCTCCAGATCAGATTCAGTGTTAGAAGATCACTAAATGGAGAACCACTGAAAGTTAGAAGGGTTTTCTACAATGACTTTCCCAAGGTGCACTATGGAGTTTTGGTAGAGGAATGTGAAAGTTGGAGAAATGTACAGATTCTGTGATTTATGTTCATAACTCTATACACAAACTGACCTCAGGGGAACATTTGGTCCCTGTAACACTGTTTGAAGATAAAATGCTACACAATAAGTTATGGCGGGGGGCCCGCAACAGTGAAACCATAACGCTCCTTTTTTTTCTTTGAATAAAGTTTATGTATTCAGACCAATTCCAGATATTTGTCCATTGTGTCCTATTAACCTAATGCGAGAATGGGACAAATTACATTTCCCATCTGACACCAACCTCTTCACGTTGGGCTTTACAGCTGTCAGGTCTATGTGCACGCATATTTTAAAGTCAGGTCCCTACAGTATCTGTCAAGAAAAACAAACATCCCGTAAATCAATCCTCAATCAGGGCTCGCTGTGAGACAAACAGTCTTTATGTCTCAGAAATGTCTCTGACACAAATGACACAATGGACAAATATTTTGATTTGGTCTTAGATACAAGCTCAGTGTTCTAGGAGACTAAAAAGAAGACATCATAAAGATCTTATCCTAAACTTGACTGTACTACGAGATGTCATGACAAAGACCTAAACTGTACCAGCACTCAAGTGTTTCCAATCAGTGCATCCCGATGAGAACTATTTCTGCTAGTCTACATGTGTAAAGATAGTGATGACAAGACTTTATTGTGAAAATATATTTGTTTGTAGAAAATCCTTGACTTGATGAGTTTAAAGTTCAAGACAAAATGGAGAATGTAATCTATTTTTTCATCATGTACTGGTAGATCTGGCAGAAAGTTAATAAAGAAAATAATTCAGTTCAGTTTGATTCCCTGAATTCATAAATAATAAAATAAATAATCAAATTAATAATCCCTCTAGGGTTGTTTGCCCGTGTTATGAAATCTGTCTCCAGTATTTGTTCTGCAATTTTCATTCAACGGAGGAGAGAGGGAAATAATAAGTGGTGCTCACAAAATTTCAAAGTGGAATTAAGTTGTAAACTTCAACCTCTTTCTCAGAAATCCTGTTCTGTTAATCGATATGAAGAACAGTAATTATTATTATTGATGTTTTTGTCTACTTTGGATCCCAATTAGTGGTTACCACAGTAACAACTATTCTTTCTGGGGTCCATACCCCATACACAAAGAAAACAAAACAGAAAAAAACACCCAAAAAAAGCAAAATTTTCATCCTTAGTAGTGAAAAAACTAGGGCTGGGCAACGATTAAAAGTTTTAATCGCGTTAATCGCATAAGTTCCTGTGATTAATCGCGATTAATCACATTGTTATACGCAAAATCCAACAATGAATTAAAAAGTAGTGTACAGCGCACTTTTATTATAAATGTACTTCTCAACTTAAACAATGTAATCAAAGCAAATAAATACAAAACTAAAGCTTATTGCATTCGTTGCAGTCTGGACGCAGAGTGTGTGTGGGTCTCCTCTCTGCTCTCTGACTGCAGCTGGGTCTGCTGTGCGAGCCTACACTGACAGCCTGTGAGTGCTTTTGGAAGGAGGAGGGGCTCACGGCAGCACCCGCTGCTCGTTGAGGACAGTAACTGCAGAGCAATATGTGCTTTCACGTCAGTTTCTTACACCAAAAAAGTCTCCAATATCACCAGAAAAAGTCGCTAGATTTGTCACTAGTAGCTGTAGATAAAAAAAGTTGGGAGTTTGGAAAGTAGCCAGATTTAGCGAGAAAGTCGCCAAGTTGGCAACACTGTTTCCTCTTTCCTGTGAGCGCCGCAGCAGACATGCGCAGCACTAAGCAACATACTAGGCTCGCTCACGATGGAATTTTACAAAATAAAAGCCAGTGAGCAACAGACTTTTACAATAACAAAATAACGCGTTAACGTGCCCAGTCCTAGAAAAAACAAATAAAAATACATTCACAGACGAACCAAGGACTGAAACTGTTCACGTCATGAGCTCATACAGTAGATGGTTAAAACAGCAGTTTACCTAATAAGGTGTCACACGCCTTTTTCAAGCTGGCAACACTAGACAATTTTCAAATCTGAATCGATTTTAAAAACTTGGGAGACCGCTGACTTTTACTGATTTTTAAATATCACAATGCTCCGATAGGACACGCTAGACAACTCGGCCAAACAGGGAGAGACCACACACCTGCAGCTTGTTGTAAGATTTCACAGACACGAGATCTCACAGAAACTCGTGCGATCCAACGTGACTTCAGAAGAAAAAAAAAAATAAGGATGATTGACATCGTCAGCTGGCTGTCCTTCTGTGTGTGTTTTGTTTTGAAACCTAAAATGAGAAAATACAGATGAAATCCTTGCTGAGAAGATGGATTATGTGCAGCTTTATAAAATGTGTGGCACAAGCTGAGGGTGAGTTGTTAAAGTACGCAAAATCCGGTTGGTGACGCTTCCAAGTCTGCTTGGTCTCATTGGCTGCTGCAGGTATTCCGTTGGAGGCAGTCCGACCAGTAAATATCATATTTATGGGCAAAAAATAGGATACGGCAAGCCTTGAATCGGGTCACACCGCCCCTATCGTTCTGGGGCAAAAATCTAGTATGTGGCAATCAAATATCATTCACATTCATAAACAAGATGTTACATGAAGAAAAACTGATTTATATTTAATAACTGCGCTCCTTGATGTCTTTTTTAAAACTCATCTTATTAGGGAGCTGCGTTAAGTGAAGCAACAATGTGAAAGCTGGGAGTAAGTATGCAGGTTTTCTAGAGATATAAATGTTTTTTTTAAACTGGACCAGGCTACATGTAAGTCTCTTCCAACCTGATCCATGCTGCCTTGCATGCATCCCTTCCACACTGTCCCTCATCGAGCAGTGCAGAACCAGACGGAACCAGAACCACGTTGGGCTTTACAGCTGTCAGGTCTATGTGCACGCATATTTTAAAGTCAGGTCCCTACAGTATCTGTCAAGAAAAACAAACATCCCGTAAATCAATCCTCAATCAGGGCTCGCTGTGAGACAAACAGTCTTTATGTCTCAGAAATGTCTCTGACACAAATGACACAATGGACAAATATTTTGATTTGGTCTTAGATACAAGCTCAGTGTTCTAGGAGACTAAAAAGAAGACATCATAAAGATCTTATCCTAAACTTGACTGTACTACGAGATGTCATGACAAAGACCTAAACTGTACCAGCACTCAAGTGTTTCCAATCAGTGCATCCCGATGAGAACTATTTCTGCTAGTCTACATGTGTAAAGATAGTGATGACAAGACTTTATTGTGAAAATATATTTGTTTGTAGAAAATCCTTGACTTGATGAGTTTAAAGTTCAAGACAAAATGGAGAATGTAATCTATTTTTTCATCATGTACTGGTAGATCTGGCAGAAAGTTAATAAAGAAAATAATTCAGTTCAGTTTGATTCCCTGAATTCATAAATAATAAAATAAATAATCAAATTAATAATCCCTCTAGGGTTGTTTGCCCGTGTTATGAAATCTGTCTCCAGTATTTGTTCTGCAATTTTCATTCAACGGAGGAGAGAGGGAAATAATAAGTGGTGCTCACAAAATTTCAAAGTGGAATTAAGTTGTAAACTTCAACCTCTTCTCTCAGAAATCCTGTTCTGTTAATCGATATGAAGAACAGTAATTATTATCCATGCTGCCTTGCATGCATCCCTTCCACACTGTCCCTCATCGAGCAGTGCAGAACCAGACGGGCAGCTCTGTTCAGAGTGAGCTGGATCCTATTCAGCTCTTGTTTCCAAGCAATGGTCCAAACTTTTGCACTGTTGCACAGTAATTGAGGTGAGACTAAAGCATAGACTAAAGATTGTAATATTTGTTTTATCATGTCTCCTTTTAGAAAATAGTCGTTCTTTCTGATATTGGAAATGCCTTTTTTTGCCTTTTTTGCAACTTTATTCTTAATGTAAGTTGTCCATGAAAGTTTTTCATCTATTGTCACATCTAACAGTGTGGCCTCTTTACCCTGCTCAATGGGTTCCCAATGTTCAAAGATGCACAGCTACTAATCTGTCTTCAAACCATGTCAGGAAACATACATCACACGCTTTGTTTTTGAGATGCCTGTTCTCCTAAACACGTTCAGAAACCAGCATCAATTCTTCCTGAAGAATTTTGTTTAGATCCTAGTACTTTTCTGCAGATACATAAAGTGTAGACTCATCGCAATACATAGCAAATTTCTAACCCTAACCCTATACATATGAAAGATCATGTGTAAATATGAGAGAGGTCCCAAAACGCTGCCCTGGGGAATTCCACATTGCAGACAAGCTTCCATTAAACGTTACACATTGGTGTCTGTTGAATAAGTAACTTTTTATCCCATTAACAGCTGAAGGTCTCACTTATCCAGAGTTAGCAGAGAGAGCTCCCATGATTCCCCTTCAGCCTCGATGTCATCTTTTTCTCTCCAGGTACAGAGTAGGTGTGCATATGATAATGATAAGGCATGAACACAGAACACATCTTGAAGCACACAAGAAAACGTAGTGGGGTAGTGACAACAGTACATGTTTTAAACATTTTGCATATCTTCCAGCATAATTTTCCTTTTTGTTTCAGCTGGTTGAAAACAACAATCTTCCATGCTGTTGTTTTGCTGAAATTACATTCCAATTTTCTACATTGTTTTCTCGCTAATGAGAAACAAAAATGATCCGTCATCACCAATATGCATGGGACGATAAGCATGAACAGATTTAATTTAGCAGGATGTTGTTTTTCTTTCATTCGGTTTCTAAAGAGTACAGCAGGAGGAGAAAAAATATTATTTTCTCTGTTTGTGCAGATGATTCTCAAGTTACCATGACATGTTCCTGTAAAAGAGATCTACATTCTGTAATTTGTCAAGTGCACCTGGATATGCGGGAAAATATCATATTATTTTCCACTGCAGCAGAGAGTAGACAAGCAGATGATGCCTGCATCACAAATTCAACTCTGCAAGACTAAACTGAACTAGGTCTTATTTTTACCAATAGTGTGACATGACAAGTAGAATCAATGCAATGTAAATGTGATAACTGTAATAGGCCTATAAATACAAGAGCCTGACCGATTAATCGTCCAGCCAATAATATCGGACGATATAAGCTTACTATCATATCAGCTAATTTGATCACAGATATGTACTGATATTACTAGATTTACTCACCAGTCAAATAGCATTTCATTTGAGTGTTTTATTGCATTATACTAGCAGTTCTCTTTCACCAGCAGTGCTATATGGATTACAACAAGCATCATCACTCTCTAGAGTGTAAGGCGGTGATGCACGAACATGTGCAGTTACTTTCCAGTTTAGTGACCATCTTTTGTTAGTTATAAATCTTTTCCACAAATGCTTGATAACTGCACTAAAAGGATCAACCCAATAAATGCGTAAATCTATCTCTATGGATAGAATAAAGATATTGGACGATATATAGGTCGGTTGCTAATCCTAAAATTTAAAAAAGTTATCCATTCAGTAGTAGTTCAGGTGATTGGGTCTCAGCATTACCAAATATGCATGGGTTAATAAGCATGCAAAAGTTAAATCAGCAGCCTTGTTGTTTTGCTTTGATTCTGTCCGGAAGGATTGACCAGTTTAAGTCCTTTCAAAGACTTGATGAATGAGGGAGCCAACTTGACTTTAACCTCCACTATAATTTAGAGTGAATTTCTATTTTCTGTACACGCGTTCTAGATTTTCAGCATGGGAAGCGTTCTGGTTTTCGTATGTAGTACATTTGTAGTCCGAGCTGTATTGAACAATTACGTTTCTATGCTTTGGTGTCCATGTGTTACTGCCATGCTTCTTATCTTGTAAATATTTAAAATCTTTGTTTTTTTATTGTTTTGCTTCATCAGTGGCCAAAAAAAGTGTATACATGTATTGTAGATATTTATGAAACTGATGCAGTGTGACACATGTTGATGGTGTGTTTGATCAAAAGTGAAGTCCCTGGCTTTGGGAAACTTTTGCAAGTTTGATCACATGTGTATTCATTTGTATTAGTAAAACACCCTGTAAATAACTGCCTATTCATACATTTAAACCACACACTTCCATATGTGGTTTCATACCCTCCCAGGAGGTGCACACAGCTCAATTATAATCTTTTGCAGGAACTGTGTTTCTATTAACTTTTCTGCCCCTTTTAAAATACCTATTTCTCATAGCAATTGCAAATGAATCAAAATTGTGCAAGAGGGTCAATTCATGTTGCCCAGCTCAGTTCTGCATCTTTTCATATACTTTGTATGCAAACTGAGCTGGAACATGTTGCCTTGAGTATGGTCTGATTTTATTTTATGCCTCTACTTCTATCTCGCTGATGTTGTGACGTTAAAATGATACTTCTGCTGTGTCTTTGTTCTCCGTTTTTTTCTAGTCTTGGAGCTCTTGTGGGTCTCTCTGTAGCAGCTTTGGTTCTTCTGGCCTTCATCATCACTCTCTGCGTCCTCTGCTATCTGTTCATCACCACTAAACCCAGAGGCCTGGACAACGGGCTGCCGCTCCGAGCACCAGGTACCCACAGATGTCTCTCAAACCTTTTGGCTGACCAAAAGGTTTGAATTAAAGAAACTACCTGTATCTACTAAACCATTTTTTTTTTTTTTGCCAAAAACGTAGTGCTAATGCATTCAATGCTCTTTAGTGCAATCAAACAGCTTTGTTAAATATTTTACTTTGTTCATCTAAAATGTGTTTTCATATTTATTGTCCAACTCCAAAGATTAGGGCAAGTTTACCAAAAAAGCCATTTTCATTTACTTTTTTGAGGTTTATTTTTGGGCTTTTTATGCCTTTTTTTTAGAGACAGGACAGTGGATAGAGAGAGATATCGAGGAGAGAGAGAGTGGGGAATGACATGCGGGAGAGGAACCACAGGTCAGCTTTGAACCCAGCCCTCCTGATTGTAGGACTATAGCCAAAGTTCATGTGGTGCGTGCATTAACCGCTATGCTACCGGCAACCCAAGCCATGTTCATTTCTGTCTGTTTATCTTTTATCAAAGTAACATCAGTATAGAATGGACCGAGTTAATGAACCACTCTTGAAAGTAGCCTGATGTTGCTAAGTATAGGGAGAGTCAAACAGTATATTTAACCAGCAGGTATAAGCGAATGGAAGTTGCACTGCTCTCGCGGGCGCTGGTAACATAGTGATTAGTGCATGCATGCCCCATATACAGAGGCTGTGGTCCTCCAGGCGGCCAGCCCAGGTTCGAGTCCGACCAGTGGCTCCTTTCCTGCATGTCATTCCCCACTGTCTCTCTCTCTCTCTCTGATTTCTGACTCTATCCACTGTCCTTTCTCTACAATAAAGGCCCAAAAAGTCCTCAAAATTTACTTACAAAATATTAATGTAGAAAACCTGATTCTCACTCAAAACAAGAACAAAAATATTTTTCTGATGTCTTTTTAAGAGACTTATCACAATATATTTGGGCTTATTGTCAGCAAATAAATACTATAAAAAATGTACAATTTAAAAAAAACTACAAATAAAGAAGTTCTTAATACTTTGAAACCGCCTTCTTGCTTTCACACTATAATTGTTATTTCATCTATTCATTGCAATACTCAGTATTTTTACAAGGACAGTTAAATTAGACCATGAATTGGATTACCTTCAATGTATCTGTATGGAGAAACAATTTATTAGCAGAAGTATGCCTGACCGTCAGCTACCGATGTGTCATACCAAAATATAATTATGGACAACTTTACAGCTCTGTTCATGTTTTTATGTCGTCGTATGCTCCCACACATTTATGCTGTTGGACTTCAGGGTCAAAGCCTGGCACAGGAGCTTTGGAGTTTGTAGAAAACACCAAGGCCAGATTAGGGCTGATTGAGGTGAATACGCACAAGAGTAAATCCACCCCCTACCCCGTTATTTAGGTGTGTTAGTCTCACTACAAGATACTCAACTGAGTACAATTTTACACAGACGTGGGTGGCCTGTGCACAGCACTGTCAGTCCTTATGTCATGGTGCAGGTGATAACAGGAAACATAATCTGGACAGAAAATGAGAAGATTAACCGCACAGCAGAGGACTGAATTTCTTATTATTATTTTATTTAATTGCATACTTAATACACACAAACAACGCATTTCACCTTTGCTGGTTTGTTCAAGTATGTAATTAAAACAAAAGAAGAAGTAATCCAGCCTTCTTGTGTGCGGTGAATCTTGTCATTAGTACATTTTTAGCCGAATTTACATGTGTACATGTACAGTATTTCAGAAGTCCAGATTTAGTCTGAATCATACAATAAATGAACTGTCGCAATGTTGCAAGGTTGGTGAAATGCAGGAGATGTAGACAGGTGTGATGTGATCAGATGTATTAAAAGAGGGTAGTTGGGTGTATTGGAGCTGTTGTTGAATGGCATGGTATGCTGGAGCTGCACATTGTGTGCAAGCAGGTTAGATAGCGCGCACGCACATAAGCAGGTAGGCGGGCAGAAGAACTGTGATCCTGAGCACAACAGTAGGACATTGAGTATAATCTAGGAGTAATTATCGATCACTATACACACTGGATGACTGACACATGTCTCCGTGCTGTGGCTGAGACAACAGTCTAGCACCGTGTGAGTAAAAATAAAAATACTGCAGGGTTGATGAGTAGCTGGACCGCAGGAAGACATGTTTGGCAGGTGTGCATAATCAGCAGGGATAGAGAAGCGAGGAGAGTCTGGATGGTATTCAACTCCAACACTACATAAATACTGATACAGTGAGATAGATAGATGGGGGACAGGGAGAAACGTGAACTGCAGAGGGGATTAGGTCCACCGAAAAATAACCCTAATCCAGTGGTTTGTTGAATACAATTTTGAAGCATCAATTTTGGCATTATGGCCTTTTCCTTTTTTTTTGTTGGAGCCAGTGTGTCCGTATTTGGATAAGAGGTTGAAGCTGAAGAGGAGCAAGGTGATTACAAATATTATGTTTTGAAACTGTACAGTCTTTGACCATGGAGGTTCATTACCTGGCTCATTAGTTGACCTCAGAGTTTACCACAGGATGAGATTTTGTTTGTGATGGTCATTCATTTACTAAACTATAAAAGCACTTTTTAGAGTGTGGTGTTGTGGCTGTTTTATGACACAAACAATGTCACTTAAAAAGGACTTTTCATCACAGGGCCTGTGGGGAACAACAAACAACATTTCCTCGCGCCAGCGCGCTGTCACAAATAAATCTACACGAGTAACTCAGAAAGGGCTAACAAGCCAGATTCTGCAAGCACAGACGAGACACCTTCCTAGTTAGTGCTTACATAAAACAAGAGAAGGCACAAAAGTATTTGGTGGCTTAATTAGCTTGGGTGACACCTTGCAGAGACTGTCAGTTAAAAGAGTTCCTAATATGCACAACCGTGAGCCTTGATGTATTTCAAGATACATTTTATTTGTCCCAAAGAGAGAGAAATTTGTCTTGGGCTCTTCACCCATGCTGCAGCCATAAAAAGACAGCAATCAACATCATTCACATTAAAGATAAACTTTGAATATTATTAATTAAATGTCCAGAAATATTCTAAAGGAAGAATGTGAGACTTTTTGATCCAGTAGATGTCGCCCTTGGGCACCAGCACTAAACCAAAGCAGTCTCCTGTTTGGCGACACTTCCGCTCTCCTCTAGAAGCACACCTCCAACCCCCCTACACTCACAATCGCACAAAGGAGTTCTCATTTAAAACGCACCATTAATCGCAAGCGGTTGACAAAATTGTCCTTTGCTCGGGCTGCAATTGCCGTGACCTTCATTGTTGTGTTAGCAGGCTAATGTTAGCACACTTTGGTTAGCTCGTAGCTTCACATTGCACATAAAGAGACACGGAATGACCAAGGTCTAAACACACTTACTTGACATCCAAATAAGCAGTGAGTATGTTATTCTTATATTCTTATTTTCTCTAGTCCTTGAAAACAGCTTTATAAGCAAAAGCCTTCATGTCCATGTAAACATGAAGTATACACAGCTCCGACAACAACACAGCTGGCGGGACTCAAGCTTCTCACTCATTGTAGACAGTCATGACTCAAAGAGACATTTACAGGATATACTTGATTTCTGCTGTATTTATGGGTAAAATGTTGCACACCAACTCTCTCTCTCTGCCTGCCTCTCGCTCCTCTTGCTCTCTCTTTCAGGTATTTATTGTGTTTTTGGTGTTGAATTGTATACTTTTCCTTTGTATCAGAATGACAGCTATAGGACATGTTTTCTTGAAATGTGTCGGAATAATCCCATAAGGGATGGGTAATATGAGGCCAGAAATGAAAATAAAGATGCATTCATTCATTCATGAGGAGACCTGTTTAACAGTTTGATGGTGGCCTGTGGTCATCGACTCATTTACTTGCTTGTGTACACAGCTGAGTAATTCAAACAACATCCCTGTTACAGTGGGGCGCCAAAATCAAGATAAAAGAAAGTTCCACACAGCTGATATGAATGATTCATTTTATGTTTGATTTTTGTTTCTATAGTGAAATATGATGTCTTATATTACCTCCATCCTTGCAGCAATTTAACTGTTGAATTGTTTGACCAACTTCACATCATTCACATTTTGTTCCTGTTACGCCGCCTGAGTCCAGCCCTCTGTTGGGCTCAGGATAATCCTCATGTTTGGATCAAAGTCATCCCAATCCTGATCAGAAGCTTTGAACAACACAAACTGCACATCTAATCAAGTTCAACCAAGATTCCCTAAACTTATCTGCTTTCAGAATCCTTTTTTTATTCTTATAAACAGCCTGATATCAAGATGTGTTCCTCTCTTATCATTTTAACCACATCAGATTATTCTTTCACAACTGGGCCTAGGCTTTAAAAAGGTTCATTAGTGCCTCCTAAGGTGACTGCAGGAATTGCAGTTTTTGTCACTTCCTTGACAGCTTCTTTTTCACTAGCCCATCATCATATATTGTGTCTTTCAATGTCAGGTTGTAAAAAGGCAAAGAAGAGGACCCAAGTGCAGATAACTAAAAGTAAAAGATGTATTGCAACAATAGGCAAACAAAGAGTACTTGTTTGAAAAGTCCAAAAAGAGAAACAAAAAGAGCCACGAAAAAAACACTGGGAGGTAAGAGTCGTATCACAGGAGTAGTACTTCTTCTGCTCTGGTATGTTAACAACAGTCCAGTCAAAGTTAAATATTTAACTATTCCTTTCCTCCCTTGTGCATTCTCCGCACTCCGAAACACTTAACATTGGCTTCCACTCGTCCTATTTTCTACAAACATGACATCATAACTTTCCTCTCCAGTATGAATTTCCTGTATGATATGAGACTTTGCACTACCCTTTCTGTCTGACTACAGTTATCACACGATCCGGTCGGATGTTTTTCCATTAAGTGGAGGATGCTGTTCAAGTTACTTTGTCCGATTCTCAGCGGGCTTACTATTAATTAACAGGAGCAATAGATGAAATTAAGTGACAACAAGTGGGAATGAACGCTACTAAATAGAGACCGAGGTAATCAGACACAGGTGAGACTAACGACACAGGTGAAGACAATCAGGGCAATCAAAGCTGGAGGGAAACCTGACAAAGCAGGAAACACAAGGATAAGAAATGACAAAATAAAACGGGAAACACTAAAGACTAAACTTGGAAATAAAGCAAAAAAAAATACACACAAGGGAAACAAAAAAACACCAAGGAAGACAGAGACCAAATTAAACAGGAAATCAAATCAAAAAATGAAAATAAACTGCTTTAGGAGAGGCAGTCACGCTCTCTACATACCAGGTAATTATGTTAATTTTGTCTTTTCCAGGCTCGACTCTGAGTCCACATTCACCAGGGCCGAGTCATATCAGCGCCCCTGCTGAACCGCAACGTCCCAGGAAACACTTTTTCAGGACAAAGCTGGACTGTGACAACCAGCCCCCGGACCCTGACCGCCTTTTCCAGCGTTGTTTCATGGCTACTGTGACGTCTATCAACGTTGAGGGTCCTGCATAGACCGGTGAAATACACATGAGCAGCTAAATGAACATTGATAAAAACCATTTGGTGACAGCCTCCTTGCTGCTACTGTGCAGTATTGTTTCTCAAGATGCACACTTTTGGAAAAGAATAAGTGAATTGGGAATGAAAATGTGTTCACTGTGTCTTGGTGAAACAGAACAGTATTCAAGCAGTGTGAAGGACCCCCAGCTTAGAAAAGTGCCACACTTTTTGCGTATACAATCACATATTATTATAGTGGTTAAAAAAAGCAGAAGAAGGTCTTTACATAATGATTTTTTCTAACTGTCAAGTACGGAATACACATCATTTGTTTGTTAGCACATGGCGCTCATGCATGTAAATGTGTCTTGGCTCTGAATCATGATTACACATTGACATCACAGACTTTGAAATGTCTCTGTCGAACCTGAGAGGCAGCGCTGTGACAAGTCAATGTCTGGCTGTGGTTAAATCTCGGGGAGGGCGACGAGTTCACTCACATGCTGTCTATTTGATTCATTTGTTACTGTTCCTTTTTTCGCCTAGCGCAAACCCCTGAGTCCAAGCTCTGCTTTTTCAGACTGATGGGGAGCAGTGGTTAATGACAGAGGTTGGACAATTGATAGTTTGTGTTTAGAATAAATTAAGAGACGATAAGTGGGAGTTTGTTCATGCATAAAAGATAAAGAGAGCAACAAAGACTAATGCAAGGCAAGTTTATTTACTAAGCACATTCCAGTAAGGGCTGCAGGGTCGTACAGTGGTTAGCGCTGTTGTCTCATGGGCGAGGAGGTTCCTGGTTTGAATCCCCGTCAGACAGGAGCCTCTCTGTGTGGAGTTTGCATGTTCTCCCTGTGCATATGTGGCTTCCTCCAACAGTCCAAAGACATTCTTTTAAGGCTAAGTGGTGACTCTAAAATTGCAAAAATCCGTTATATGGTTTGTTCTCTATTAGTGCCCCAAACTGCTAACTAGTAAATGTCTGACATACTAGCATGCTGACCACAAAAAATAATAAAAAATGTCTTAATTGTCAACAAGAGCCTGTAGGGGCGCACTCAAACTAGGGCAAAGTTGTCCTGTACCGTAATTAAGCACAATTACCTTACCGCCCTTCCATCTCCTTCTCATGTCTCGAAAATTGAGGAAGTAGCAAATATTTTATTTAACATTTAGGTGTCACAAAAATGTATGTGCTTTTTATAGCTGCTGTCAGTTTGCAAACGGCTTATTTATCCAACTTCATTTCACTCATCTGACTGTTTTAACATCCACTAACGACAGTCTCAATTCGATCGTGTTTCAGTCAGTACAGTGTGTGTGTGTGTGTGTGGGACTGGGGTTGGTGACTCGCAGTCTCGCATGTTCACTGAACTGTAGTACTGCAGGAGCCCTGATTCTCTCTCTCCCGCGGCATCAGTCAGTCATTGGCTTATTATTCACCACCGGCCATTCTCAGTACGATCGCGAGCAGAACTAAATGTTCGGCCGTGTTTCAGCTTATTAAATTCTGATTCACAGACAGAGCTGGGTGGAGCATTGAACGATTCGGTGAACAAATCTTTTGAACGAATCATTTTACTGAACTGATTCTACTGATTCAGTACACTGAAAAGAACTGCTTTTCATATCACTTGTGCTCGTGCATTAACTGTACCGTGCAAAAGCACACCTCTTTGAAGCGTGCCAGGGCCAAGGAAGTGTATCGAGCTTGAGCACAGATCGTAGCACTCACACTAGTCGAACGAACTGGACTTTAGGATTGAAGCGTACTTGGGCACAGAACAGATTAGAAGTAGAAGTAGACTAATAACATTTATCTTAAAACATCACTGTGCCTTAACACAGCTTCATAGGGGTTAGCATGATGGCTTTATATTTTTCTTTTAATCACACACTTCTGTATCGTCCACTTTGTAGTGAGTTCCCGTGTTTGTTGTGCTACACTGAAGACTACATAGGCTACTTTGTTGTGGACGCAAATCATTGAGTAATGTAATATGAAACGTTGTGTAAAACCAAGCTAACCGCTAACCAAGCATTAGGTTTCTTACCATCCTGTATTGCACTGAAAGAAAACAAAGTGGCGACAGAATAAATAGTGCTTTCAAAATGACTAGAGGAGTGTGGTATTTTCATATAAAGACCTGTTGCTTGGTGGTAGAGTCAGTGGACTCTCAACCAGATCATCTGGGATTTGATCCCCCGGTTCTTGCAGTCGATCACTTGTCAAAAAAAAATTTGGGGGCGAGATTCTGACCCCCAAATAGCTCCTGCAGCTTCATCAGGGATATGTGAATATGTATGACTGGGATTTTTTATGATGACAATTTACAAAGCAGCCTCTGCCGTCGGGCAGTGCGTTAACATGGACTTGAGTATCCTGATTTTTCATCCCATTTTTTGTGTTCGTGTAAGTAAAGAACATATCCCGATATCAGAAACTAAGATCAGCTCTCATCTTAAATTTGAAAAACCTGATTTTGCTACCTGGGGAACTACAAAATACAGCCGAACACAGTGGAATTTATACACCACGGTACCCCCGGCTTCTGACGGCTGCTTTATATCTGCACAGCCTCAGCCAAGTGAATGTGGTGTGAATGGGTAAGTGTTACCTGGTGTTGGTAACACCTACAGTACCCATTCACACCACATTTACACTGAGAAGTGCTTTGAGTTGTCAAAAAGACTAGAACAGTGCTATACAAGCTCAAGTACATTTACCTTCAACCTTATAATAATCTTTATAAAACCTCCTGGCTATGGTGATTTTGGAAACAGATTGAATGCTAGCACTTAGTCTATGTTTAAATTGGATGGTCACATTAAATAGTGACATTTTAAGGCCCCGACACAAATCAAGGAGATTGTCTAGTTTTTGCAGTGTGTCCGGCTTCGTCGCTTCCCGTCCGCATCCGCATCCGCACCCGTCCGCACCCGTCCGCACCCGTCAGCCTTTTTTTAAGCAAGAGCCACAAAACAATGGGACTGATGTCAGAGACTGCACAAGCTTTAGTGTTTTTTAAAACTAAACTTAAATGATGGTTATATCATGTGGTCATGTGTTTAATCTTTTGAATAAGATTCAGATAGGATGCTGAAGAGGAGGAGACGTGCAGCACAGAAGGAGAGGCTGTCTGTTCATTCAATCCTCAGGGTACGACAGGATTTGGGTGAGTTGAGGCTCATCCAGGAGCTGCTTGTGAAGTATAACGACCGCTTCACAAGCACGACCCACATTTCTGCAGCTGTTTCAAACACACCTGGTACGTCCATATGTTGGACATTTCTTTTCAGACTAGATATTTCTCTCCGATGTGCCAGTAGCGATTCGCCCAAGTTAAAAATGTTTTAACTTTCTCGAAGTTTGCAAGAACAGCAACAAGATCCTGCGCTGGGCTCAACTCAGTGGCGCGCAGAAATACTCTTATGCGGAGCAACACAATAGACAATGAACGGGCCTGACAGCGGCATGCAGCGCCCACCGCATCCTTTCTGAAAGGTCCTCAACAGAGCACAGTAGAAAAGAAGGTTCTGGTTGCTTGGAGTTGTAGCAGTTTCAGTAAATTTGTGGAACTAGTTGAGTTGGTGGAGTTACAATAATCTGTTGTTGATTTCAACTTTCAGTATTGCTGATATTCAGTTCAACATCACTCCCTCTTGTGTGATATTGCTTCAATAATTGTATTTTTCTTCATTGTTGCTTATGGATTTTAATTTTTTGTATTGCAATTTTTTTTTTTTTCAGATCTTCATTGGGCCTGACAGATGTGAAATAGCTTTATAGCTAACTCTGGCCAAACGTTTGTGTTGTGCATGTCCAATGTCAAAAAAACCCAATAAACTTCATTGAAAAAGTCATTGAAAAGCAGCTTAAGCCTGGCTCAGACTGTAGGATAATCGGGTAGCGGTCCAATTCCTCCTTCACGACAATCGCAGGGTCGTCCCAGAGTCAAGGCTGCTCGGAACCGATTATCTTCTCAGATTATCTTGTAGTGTGAGTCGTATAAACATCCAATCTTAGCATCCCCATTTATTTCAAACATGTTTAATATTAAGTATTTAGGGTGTTGACGATTACGACATGAAAGGGATTGGCGGATGTCGAGTGTGACTACAATCACGAGACCTCGAGAGAGAGTCGAGGGAGAACAGTAACTAGTGGATGCACAAGACAACTGTAATGCATATGACATTTACAATCTTACCCCCAGCTCTCACTAAAGAATATACAATTCATGTTACGCGTCTCCCCAGACACTTCATCACCCAAAACTTGTTGGCTCCATTGTTTGGGTGAGGTCGCGTGAGGTGGTGCTTTCCTCCTCCGATCAGGATAATCTTAATAAAGTACTGTAGTGTGTGATGTGCCATGGTTTTCATATCTTGTAGTGTGAGCGTGCTTGAGATTATGGAGAAAAAAATCTGTTCAGATTCCTTTTCATGTGCGTGATGCTACCTGAATTCAAAATCGGGAAGGATTTTAAAACTGCTGTAGTGTGAGCCAGGATTAAAGGCTTCCAAAACTGCAGGTCCTGGTGTTACAATCAGTTGCAAAGAAAGAATAAAGAATAAATGTACCCTCAGATTGCATATGTAGATTAGTGTGAACAATGGCTAAAGTCCCCACAAAGAAGAGAGAAAAAAAGAGAGCTCTTTTTGGGGGAAATTAAATGAATTCATTAAAATGAGTTTCTTTTATATTTCATTTGAGCAAGTTTTTGTTTTTTGGGGTCATAATCTGAATGTACTCATTTTTAAATGTGTGTTTTCTTTTGATGGTATTGTAGATGACACCATTGTTTCATGTTGAAGCGGTAAAATCTCATGTTGTCTAATCACTGCTCAGTATGAAGACAATATATTTGCAGGATATCTATTTGACTGAACTCACATGATAATGATGGACCTGAATTGTCAGGGCTAATTATGGCATTGTACTTTAAAAAAATACATTTTCAAGTGCCTCTTACTGATGAGTGTATTTTTCAAAGTTATTAAAGTGATGATCTACACATGCTTTCAAGCTGTCTTTTGTTTTAAACTTGCTCTTCTAGAAGCAATTTCAGAATTTTAGTCAGAAGTCAAAAATGCATTTTTTTGTCTAAGCCACAAAACCTGCTGTTCGAGCTGCACATATATTTACATATATGAGCCCATCTGCACATCCAACAAATCAACATATCTCTACACAACATGTCACTTACTTCGTATCACTTATTTCAGATTTTTTTTTATATCCCAGATGAAAATCACACACACGCAATGCTCAGTTACATTGTCAAATCTTCCATGTTTGAATCTCAAGATAGAAGATTCACTGAAGTTGAAAACATGTCTTTTTGAAGCAGTAGCTGGGTACATCTGTGAACGATTATTCCCCCCTCAAAGCCCCCTCTTCAGAGACTCAATGTTCAAGATTGAAAACACCCTGCTTGACATTGATCCAGTGTAGTTCTTGGAACATATGCATCAATTTTCTAAAGTAAGCGAGAAAAAAGGAGATGAAGGCTGGAAGATATTTTTAAGACCACCAAAGAGACCTAAAATCAATCCAACACAAGAACTCACTCGGAGGACTTTAGAACTGATACGCGGGGGATAATGAATCAAGCAGAAGTCTTTTCATCTTGTTGCGATCAGTGTCCCATGGTTAATGATAAATGGTCTTCTGACTACTCTAAGCAATTTTTACACCGACCCATTCACACCCATTCACATACAACAGAGTTGTGAATATCTCCGGAATCTCTCTGAGCTGTTGAAAAAACAGCCTGTTGGCATTAAGTTTCCAGTAGATGTCGAGGAGGAGCTGCTACGTGCTACGTACTACGGATGAGCGTATTGCATCATTTCCTGTCCTGTTCTCCGCTGTACTGTGTTGCTCAGTAATGATCGTTAGAGCTAAAAGCTTAATTGTTAATTTTGCCTAGTTTCTTACGACTGTTGTTTCCAACACACTGTACGTTCAGACAAACAAAAGTAATCGAAAAGCACTCTTTCTCTCGAGCGACAAACCTGCTTAACAGTTTTGTTTATTTTAGCTACCTACTCTTAGCCTAGCTTAGCAGTTAGCTTTATTTACAATGGCTTCTTTTTCTGTCTCTCCCTCTCCTGCTCTACGTGTCAGATGTTAAGTTACTCCTCGTCCTCCTTTAGTGATAATGATACATGTAAGAAATGTAGTTTATTTTTAGCTTTGGAGGGTGTCTGAGTTAGAGAGACGGCGCCGCACCATTGAGTCAGAGTCATCGTATGCAGCAGTAGTTAGCCAGCCACCTGTAGCCGGTGCGGGCCGACACAGCTTGGCTTCCCCCCCGGTAGCTCCCGAGCAGCCAGGAGGCAGTGGCTGGGTTACTGTCCGAGGGAAGCATAGTCAAAAATCGAAGCACACGGTTCCCCACCAACCACTTCACGTTTCGAACAAATTTTCCCCA